AAAGGCCACAGCCTTTTCCAAATCTTCCTTCTTCATCCTTTTTACCACACACAAAATATACCACAAAGTTGGCCATCACCACTTTCCAGTGTCAGCCTTACAGTAGGTAGATGGCCATTGTAGTGGTTGTTGTTGAGCTTGCAGAGCACAGACCACTTGCAGGGCTAAGGAAAGGTAAGAAGGAGAGGTCATGCCATGACACTACACACCCCATCCAAGTCCAAAAGCGGCAATACATTTCCCTTGACCGGGAAGAACGAAACAACATGCATACAACAAATTATTTTCTTCGTGTTCAAATAAAGACTACTAGTAATCTATCTTGCCATTCTTCAGCGCACCAGCATAGGCTATACCGCCTCCCACAGTCGGGTTCCTTGCCAGCTTGTTCTCGCCACTCTTGATCAAGAACTGCGAAATGAGCTTTTCATCGGTGCTTCTCGTCTTAGCATCCATGCCGTAGAACTTGGCGGTAATGTCGTCATAGCCGATGCTCAGCTCAAAGTAGCCTCGCTCATACAGATCCTGCCACTGCAATTGCGGGTTACTTGCCAGGAGCCACTTGGTGATTGGTTTCAACAGCAACTTCGGCAGAGGGATGGGACGGGAACTCGACACTGCTGACCCGGCCAGCTCAACGCCCCATGCTCCGGCACCAGTGTCTTTGTCGTAGTCTTGTTTTTCATACCATACAAGATCTGAGACCCAGGCGGCATGCGAGTCTCCAGACAGCATCACCGTGTTGTTGATCTTGTTGTCGATAATTGTTTGGAACACTCGGTCGCGGTTGGCGATGTAACCATCCCACTGGTCCCGGTTGAATGGCTTATCAATCAGGACCCCAACGGCCATGCGGCTGAAGATGACCTGATTGCCGACTACTCTCCACCTGGCTGTGCTCTCCTTCAGGCCGGCATAAAACCAAGACTCCTGCTTGAAACCCATGATGGTTCGGTTTACCCAATCAACCTGCTTCTCGACCTCTTGAGAATTGCCGCCGATCCCAGCGAACCCGTTGAGAACAGTCAAATCTCGGTCGTATTGCCTTGTGTCGAGCATGAACAGATCAAAGAGATCACCGATGGAAAACGACCTCCAAATCCGAAGGGAGTCGTCCATTTCTACCTGCCGGATGGGCATCCACTCAAAGTACGCGCGGACGGCAGCCTGTTTTCTTTTGCGGAAGGTCTCGCCGTCGCTGTTGCCTGTGCCATTCTTCCAGGCGTTATCGGCTACCTCATGGTCATCCCAGACCGGGATCCAGGGAAACTTGGCATGAGATGCAGCCAAATCCTCGTCGGTTCTGTACGTGGCGATCCGCTTGCGGTAGTCATAAAGCGAGTATGTCTCACGGTCTGGCAAGGCGGTGCGAACGTCACTGGCCTGGTACTCATAGATGTAATCTCCCAGATGGAGGATGTAGTCAGCGGAGTCCTTGGCTACAACGGCGCCGTATGCGTTGAAATACCCCTCAGGGTAGTTTGAGCAGCTGTACACAGCTAGTCTCACGTTACGAGGAACGCGGGTGCCTTTGGTGGGGATCGTCTTGGTGCGGCCGACCGGACTGGTTTTGGAAGAGCCGCAGACGTTGAAGCGGTAGTAGTATGTGGTGAAGGATTGGAGATTGCCTGCCTCGAACTGTTCTCTTTGTCAGCAAACCGGATTCCAAACAGCCGGAAGAAGATGATTAGTACCTTGACGGTGTAGTCCACGTCACTGGAGGTATAGGCTCTGCCGCTGTCCACGACATCGGTCAAGGCTTGGTCTGTCGCAATCTTGAACTCCACGCAAGCCGCTTTGGTAGAGGGTTGAGCAGCCTCGGGATCCTCATAGATCGGAACGACGCCTTCGGGAACAAGGTCCGCGGCGACATTTTCAGATGTTGGTGCGAGACGGGTCCAGATGATGACAGAGTTATCATAAGGATCACCAGATGCCACGCCATGGGTAAACTCAAGCTCCTCCGGTGTGAACAAGTTTCCCGTCTGACGCTTCGAGATGTACGAAAGAGGAACGGCGAGACTGGGGTGACGACGAGAGGGACTGTGGTACGCTAAGTTTTTGCTGAACGACGCCTCGGCCACCGAAGCGGCGACGAGCGCAGCAGCTACACTCAAGGGCAACATCTTTCCTCGAGATTGATTGAACTGAGGGCGGTAGTCCGACGAACTGATGATGAAGGGGCCTCAAGCAACTATGTGTATATATAGTCTTGCCAATCAAGGCGTTGTAACCATATGCTCTCCTCGGCTCCGCCCGGGGGCTGCGGCGAAGTGGTTCAGCTGCACAGATGGAGCGCCCTGAGTGGTCATGATCAATCCACATTCAACAAATTGTACCGTACAGCATCAAGTGTCAAGATCTTGATGGCATGTCAGGCAACAAACCTTGGAATGATTGTCTGCAGCCAAGCCAATGAGAGCCACATGTGGGGTAGCATCGACTGCATCGTCCAATCCGTGCTTTGGGAATTAAACACCCGTCCACCGAGCTTCGCGTGACGATCTGTGTCTACCCTCTGGTCAAGATCGCACTAGACATTCAGATGCGACCTTCGGTTGCATCGACCGAATATCCGAGTGTTGTCAACCTGGATGACACCAGTTGTTGAAGAACGTGAGATATCTCCTTCCTTCTTGGAAAAGATGGTCCTCTGGTAGTGGGTCGTAAGCATGTGAAATTATTGATCCGACAAAGAATCCTCAGGAAATTTTGGATGCGAGATATCGACGGACGGTTCTTGATAACGGTGCGATCACTTGAATTCGACCAGGCAGACCCGAGGATTTCGCCAATCCAGTTGACAGCTGACAAGACATCATCGATCGATGCTTGATCAGCATATCCGAGATGAAGAGCGTCCATGATTCCCCCTGTCGGATTGATCGGTACGAGCCTTTGCGAACGAGCCGAAAGCAATCCCCGTTTGTTGAGCGAATTCCACCTCCAGCAAGTCGGTCAAGTTGGAAGAGGATATCGTACTCGCAGCGGCTTCATGCAGGAACCAACCATCCGAAATCCGCCAAGCCCGACAGAAGTCTTGGGAGTTTGTCAAAACTGTCAAAAAAACCGGTTGCAGAGGACTGGTCTGTCCGAGTTGGGCTGAGCAACTGTGGAGTGTGGATAGGTTGAACCATGGTCGACATGGTGCAACTGAACCAGGTTTCTTTGATAAGAGCTACTAAGAAAAAAGACAAAAAAAAAAAAAAAGGAACTTGGAATCCTCTTCATAAGGAGGAAAAGGAGATGGGCGACCCCGGAATCGAACCGGGGTTTCTTCGGATTCGCATGTGGAACTCTTTTGGAAGAGAAGAACCACAACGAAGCGTCCTGACCACTAGACTAGTCACCCGGCTGGAGTTTGTTGCTCGTTGAAGCTGTGGTTCGGGATGAACGTTGTTGAGAGCGGCGTATGTAAGATGCGAGATGGAGCTGTCGAGAGTGCCACCATTGAGCTGGAATTTGGAAAAGATTCTGCTTGGCTGCCGCTCCACTATCGCACCCCTCCACCTTCCAAACCCTAGCTCCACAACCGCAACCCCGCTGCTGCAGCGTGCAACATGCAGCAAACACATCATCACTACTACAAAAGCACCACTTCTGAAGCACTAAAACAAGCAATAATACTCCAGCCGGGTGACTAGTCTAGTGGTCAGGACGCTTCGTTGTGGTTGATTTCCGAATCGAACACAAGCGAATCCGAAGAAACCCCGGTTCGATTCCGGGGTCGCCCATTCTCTTTTGTCCCAATCTATCTACATTGGATTCAGAACATCTTTTTGGTTCTCTGAGCTTGGCTCTCTTTTCGTGGTACTGTCCGACACAGTGCACTTTTCCCCTCACGTCAGGTGTCCGAGCTTTCGTCGCTACAGAACCCCAACCCTCCTAGCCCCTTTCCCCTGACCCCCTTTTCACTTTCACCTGTGACAGTAACGACACTAATGCAGAACAAACCGAAAGCCCTCCATTTCATCACGACCCGAAGGCAACATGTCCAAGTCGGCCGCGGGCTTGTTGCCCAGAATAACCGTTCCTTTTCCCAACCCCATCGCCTGTCCGAAACAGACGACCAACATGGTTACCATTCTGTCGCCAAATCCTGTAAAGGCAGGGCACTTGTGCGGACGGATGGAATAGGGAAAATATGCTTCTTTTTGCAGCGGCGTCAAATCATCAAACCTGTCTGGGCGGAAGACTAGGCTGTCGGATCCCCAGATGCGTGGGTCACGGTGGGAACGTTCCACGTCTGCTTTAGTGGTGATTCCATCCACGGAGCGGTAGATACGTTTGTTCGAGGGGGTCAGGCGAAGTCCTTCCTGTTGTCAAGTTGTCAGCAAGCTGTTCGATAACTGGAAAAACCACAGGAAGGAAGAGAAAGGAGGGGTGTGCTGCCGGACCTTTGCGACCTTTATAGCCTCTTGCTCTCGGCTCCGATCTCCCAAGCAGTCTGGAACGTCTGCCACCCTCTTCTCAAGAGCCTGAAGTGTGGCTGGATGCCGGTGGTATGCCAAGATGTAAGTCAAGAGGACAACTCGCCAGAGGGTCTCATACTGCGGCATGATCAGCGCCAGCATCTGTTCCGGCGTCAAAAGTTGGTTGTCAACTTTGAGGCCAAGGGATTTGATGGTATGATGCAGCAATGTTGACCTGTCGGGCGACGTTTGCTCGGCGGACTTGGATTTGAGCCATTGGGTGTTAATCTGCTCTGTGATGACAACGAGGAGAAATCTCGGCAGGGTAGATGGGTCAACGTTGAAGTTATCGACAATGACCACGGTGAGGCAAGTACAACGGACACTTTCAGCGAGGAGAAGATGGCGGTTGTTGGCTGTGGCTGCATTGCTGATGTCTCTCTGAAGGCAGGCTTGTGCGATGTCATAGAGAATGCTCCAGTCACGGTTGGATCTGTTGACAGTTTGCGAGGCAGTCTTCAAAAAGACTTTATGGAGTTCTGGAGATGGAGTGGTGAGAGAATTGACAATGCCGAACGCATCGGCCACTCCACGGTTTGCTGCTGCGCGTATCGGCAACGTTTCAAGGGGCTTCGAAGCTCCGGCGAAGCTAAAGTCGATGATGGAACGTTGTTCCCGAACCCAGTCGTGGATGTCGGTTTGAGAGCGTTGGAATTCGGCTGTCCACCATAAGCGAACACTTCCGATGAGGCGCGTGATGTAGCGCACGAACACATGATGCCGAAGTGTACAGACGAGCGTTACAGTCACACCCAAAAGCCGAAATGCCCCACGTTTGCAGTTGAAGGCTGCTCTCAGAGGGCTTTGTTCGGTGACTCCCAAGACATGCGAGGTAGCACAAAGGCCAAATGTGACTAAAAGAGAAAAGGCTAATATCCAAGTGGAGAACATGATGATGGCTATCCGTGACAGGTCGGCTTTTTTGGAAAAGGATTTCGGTTCAGGGGCATAAGACAACCACACAAAGATTCCAGCAGGAACAGGATGAGGTTCCAACATGATCCAGACAGAGAATTTAAACCCCATTCTTTCCACAGCTTCGATTCGAATTTATGGTCTGGTGCATGAGGCCTACAGTCTAAAAGTGGTGATCATCTGTCGTGGCTCCAGCCTTAGCTGCCTGACATTACTGCTCTCTCTATCCCTAAAGCCCACGATCGTTTGTCGAGTCCGTTTGCGCATTGTGTTTGAAGAAACCTCCATGGCCAGAAGATCGTGTTTGCTTCGTATTTGTCGTCGCGGGGGTTCCAGAAAGCCATCACTCAACCTCTCATCTTTCAGGAAATCGACGGGCTGAAACGGGGTACTTGCATACCCGTCGGCTCGGCTGCGAAGCCGTAGCCACTCCGCAAGTCATTGGATGTTGCGATAGATAACTGAGCGGTCCTGTTGGTTGTTGTTTCCTAAAACAGGCTCTCATGCCCGACGGGCGTCCCATTACCATGTCAATTATCCCCATACGTGCAAGGTTGGCTTGGTGCTTGGAAAGTGGAAGCAGTGTCCACTGTCGCATGCCCTCGGGCTCAGGTGTCAACTGGTGTGAAGTTGCCAGCGCAAGACTTACAAGCACGTTATTACACTAGTTGTCCTGCATTAGAGAATCCGTCACCCTAGTCGTCTATTCTGGAGCCAATATCGGCTCGACGTTGCGCGAGATAATCGCCGTTTGCTGACACCCAGCCGGAGGGAGCAGTTGGTGCACCCGTGATGCCTGCCATGCAGCAGCTTTCACTCCTCAACTCACTTTTGCCAACAGTTTGCCTCCTCGGTGCGGGTTCCAAGAAAATATAGATTGGATAAAAATTAAGACAATCTCCGAAACACATGTCTCCGATTCGATGCGTGGTAAGCAACTGGGCTGGCTTTTAGACAGCCTCTTCTCACAGAATAATAACTGCCCCATCCTGCCCAAAAGCATTTGTCATAAACCCAAGATCACTAAAACAGTCCTTATCGCAATGATTCTCCGGTAATATCGTCGTGGTATACCCCAGCTGTGAGCTCATGGCTGCCGTGGCAAGCCGCGCTATCCAATTGCCCTTTGTTATTACAACGACAGGCTCCGACGGCTTGTCTAGGAGTTCGTGCCAGTTTTCAATAGTTCTGATGCGACTGGCAGGCCCTTCTGTCGGGTTTGGCCGCTTGTTCTTCCTCTTTTTCCTCCATTTGGAACTGTTAGTTGTTGATGTCGTACTAAACATCTGCTCTCCCGCACTGTTTAATGCCCCGTGGGGACATTCGACAGGCACCCGGCTGATGCGAGGGGTGAAGTCTCTGAATAGCTCCTTGATGATATCCACATCCCCCACCCAGGTTGCGCCGTCGTATACGCTGATGGTGGCCTCTTGGAAGAAGGTCTGGCTGTCCCTCACACCCCGATGCTGGGTGACATACGGAACGCGATACTCGGTGAGTACGAGTTGCAGTGAAGCTTTCCCAAACAAGTCTAGGTTCTCCTTTCCATTCCATTTGGAATGTGTTATGAGGTTCCACTCGTCATCTGTAGGCTTCCTCACTATGGGTTCAGGGGGTGGAATGAGAAGCGAAACCCCCGGCTTCCCAACATTCCCCAATGCGCGAAAGATGCCACGTCGGTCTGAGAAATTGTAGGGGTCAAGCACGAGTGAGTTGCTGAGGTATATAGAATCTCCGCAAGCCATACCCATGACGTCGTTGAGCATGTTGGGATCGAGGTCCTGGTCGCCGGTCTCCAGCATGGCCAGACAGGCGAAAGCAATTTCGTTGGGTATAAAATGGTGCTTCTGGAACACGATGTCCATATGGATCTTCGTGCTCCTGCTTTTCAGTGTCTTGTACCAGCTGGATGAGTCCATTCTTGCTTTGACTGACTCTAGAGATATGGTAGCTTCAGCAAGTGTGCTGTAGATTTCACCAATGACTCCGACAGCACACAGAGTATTCGGAGGTGCTACCATGTATTCATAAACGTGCCGAGAGGGTTCTTTGTCTAAGAGATCGAGGACATCCTCCAAGTCGACCGTAGCCCCCATGGGGTTCATGCCTTCTTTAGGCGCAGCCAGGTTGGTCATGCCTCGAGTCTGGCGCTCGTAGAGAGCCATTCCGCATGATTTCATGTCCCCAAAGAGCAGCTGGAAATCGACTTCCCATACTGAGGAGACGTCTTGTCGTGAGATATGGGAGGCAAAAATCCTGCAGAATTTATCGGCTGGTCCATGATCTGGTGTACTTATCCTGAGGGATTTTCCCGTGGTTACGGTAGATATGAACGGGAACACGGCCCACCCCTCCATGTCCAGAACAATATCTTCCGTTTTCTTCTGCTCACTCGAGAGGGAGGATTGGCCACACCAGCGGTAGTAGTTCTTTGTCGCCGGGTCCGGTAAAGGTGTGGCCCAACGATAGCTTGAGGAGCCCATTTTAGTCCGCCAGATAATCAACATCTGTTTGGACCGCATCAACGGCAATCTTGACCTGGATATAAAGTCTCGGATGTACTGGATTTGAGCTTCAGTGTCATGCTTCATTACGGACAGGAAATTCTCCATCTTGGAAAATCCCAACAACTGCTGCTCCAGAGTGATCGGACCTTCTTCCGTGCTCAAGAACCCAGAGCATCGACGAAGGCCAAACTCCATCAACCTCACGGCGGATTGTCTAGGCTCCTTATCGAGGGTAAGGAATTTGCTCGCGGCATAGGCTAGGTGCTTGGCCCATAGAGGCTTGACAGCGATTTGATTGGGGTGATCGACAAACGAGATCTTCTGCATCCAGTTCCATAACTTTTTGTAGTACGTGCAAATGGTTGTGAGCCGATCGCCGTCGTCTTCCGGCCATACCTTGGCCAGACCTCCGAGGATGACAAGAGCCAGTTGTTCAAATGAAACGTGTTGGTTGTGCA